ACTGTCAGAAAATATCTCTGGATCTGCTCCTGTTATTGACCATGTTACCTGTTGTGCATGATTAAAATTCAGTGTTGACTGACAGTGCTATTATAAGCATTATTTATTATTGCATCAAAATTGACAAAATGACCTTTTTTTTTGCATCTTTATTTTCTGTTTTTTGTCTGTACATTTGACAGCTTTGCTGCCTTGTCATGAATTTGAAACCAGCATTCGGTGTTAAAATGAAAATAAAGCTTATGTTGTTGTGATACAGGCAACACTTGTACTGTGACATCCATCCTTAAATTTCTGTAGAGCAAATGTAATTTCAAGATTTAGTCTTTAATGTAAAGTTAAAAGGTTCCTGTGAAAAGCTTTTTTAACTTATTTCAGGTATGCCCTGAAGAGACATTTGCTGAAGTTTGAGGCTATCTACCCTGACACTGCAGTACCGCTAGGATATATCAAGGGAGAGCCAATATATGCCAGACAGTGCGTACATACTGTGAGTGGAGCAGGGCATAATATCACATTTAACACAATATTACATCTTACACAATATCACATCTAATGTAACATACAGTGAGTTGGAATGTTAAAGCAACATTACAGCACTAGACAAAACAAATTTGATAAAACTTAAATATTTCAAAATATCATTTATAACATAAAATGTTTGCTGTTATTTGCTTAAATGAGCACAATACATGTATGTTTCAATTAGTGTTGTCAGAACTGCCCAAAGATGATCTTTTACAGTTAACTTTGATACATCAGGTAAGAGATCAGTTCAAAACCAGTCATACTGTTTTATCAATGCACATTTCATCACACTAATAGTCTTGACCTTTATTCCAGTTATGTTCTAGGCAGACGTGGTTGAAGGAGGCTCTGGTGGTCCGTGTGGGAGAAGAGCCGTACAAGAAGGTCAAGGCCAGGATGACCAAGAACAGAGCTAGGACGAACAACGAGGAGCCACTGTTGGAAGTGTTTGGTCGCTGGCAGTGTGAGGACTATATCCCTCCCCCTGCTGTAGATGTAAGACTCTTTATAACCTTCACAGCTAACACAATGTTATTGTGAGATCTGCGGCAGGTGGAAAGACTCTCTGTCTCTCTTTTTCTTTTTCATTAAAATTCAACTTTTTTCTAGGTTCAGAATTTTAGCCTATGACAGAAAAGAGTTCTGACATAAATTTGAGTGAACATTCCAATAAAATTTAACTTGATTGTGTGTAATAAAATCCATGTCATTACTATATTTCAGGGCAAGGTGCCCCGTAATGAGTATGGTAATGTGGAGCTGTTCAAACCCTCCATGTTGCCTGCTGGGACAGTCCACCTACAAAGTAGGTTAAGTCTGGATGTGACGTTTTTTTTTTGTTTTTTTTTAACTTTGACCTCCTACATCAATCTCGTTTAACCATACAGTAGCAGTGAGGTTGATATGTACCTGTATATACGCTAAGGCAACCAGCTACACTGCTGTTTACCTTTAATCTCTTGTCACAGTATTAAATAAGCACTAGATGCATTTCTGTAATAAGACTTTAAGAAAGTTCTCATAGCTAAACATAAAAATCCAAGAATGCAAGGAATAAAAAAAATGTTATTAACTTCAGTTCCAGGATTGAATCGTGTAGCCAAGAAGCTGGACATCGACTGTGCGGCGGCCATGACAGGCTGGGACTTCCACAGTGGATGGGCGTGTCCTGTGTAAGATATATTATATAGACAATTGTCACAGTGTACTAAACCTTCACAGTCCGTGTTTTGAGAATTTAAAATGTTTTTGATATTATATGTATATATGGATAATATTTTATGTAATATATAGCATGATTATATACCATATCTGTTTGATATAATATATGAGGTGCTGTATTTCAGGCTGGATGGCTGGATAGTTTGTGAAGAACACAAAGACATCCTACTGGCAGCCTGGGATGAGGATCAGGAGGAACAAGAGAGGAGGGAGGCTGAGGTAAGAGCCTGGATCACATAACGGAAGGCTATTACATATTAAGTACAGTGGGAGGGAGGCTGAGGTAAGAACCTGGATTAAGGTAGGATCAAGAGAAAGAAGAATAAAGTAAGGTAAGAAGAGGAAGGGAGGGGAGTGGAAGTATTTTATCCAATACTTAATTTAATTTATCTACGTACAGTACTGTTTCACAATATAATAGACATACATGCATGTATTATTTGGATTTACAGCTTTAAGACATTTAGAGCAGTTAGATGTACTCTCATATAGGAAATGATTTAATATAAAATTATGTATTTTCTTTATCAGAAAAGAGAAAAGCGAGTACTTACTAATTGGAAGACCTTGGTGAAAGGGTTACTGATAAAAGAGAGACTGAAGCGCAAGTACAATCTACAGGTTTGTAATCTGTTATAATATTGTGTTTTGACATAGGTAGTCATATTTCAAATATAATATTAGTAAAATAATTTTATATCTGACATCAAGGTATATATCATGAAAATATTCAGAGAAATGATAGAAAGAAGATTTTTTGAGAAAGTGTGAAATTAAAATTGCAACAAATTTTTATCAAATGTATATTAATTATTAAAATGCAGAAATAGTGCAAAATTTATACAATAATTTGTATCTTAATTAGCTAAAATGTTAAGGCTGCATTTCCAGACCTGAACTCAATAAAACCAGAGTACTTGTACATGATCTATTTATTTCTTGTCATCAGGCAGCTCCAGACCTGGAAGATGATCCGTCTTGTTCCCAGTCTACAGGAGAGACATCTGGTGGGGAGAAGGCAATGGACGCAGCACTGTCATGGCCGCGGAATAGAATGGAGGAGAACAATACAGCCCTGGATCAGAGCCATTTGTTTCCCTCTGAAAAACTCTAATTTGTTGGATATTTTACTACCTAACACTTAGTCGTAAAAAATTGTTACTGCTCTTGGTGGGAATTATTTTCTTTCTCAACAGTGTATACAAGACTATGAATAAACATGAACATGTGGAAATGGCTGGTCACATGCCCAAAAATGAGTTAATTGAAATAAGAAATAATATATTATTGGAGCATTTTCTTTTTTACTCTAAAAACTCAGAAAGTTTATTGTTTACTAGTTAAATACATGCACAGAACTAGATGACATATTTTAGCTGCCATATTTCACACATCAGATAAATCATATAAATGTTTAGTTCAAAACCCATCTGTTTTAAATGTGGACACTTTATATGCAACAGATGAACAAATGATATTTTTGTACTGCATTTTTTTTTTTGATAAAAAAGAGTCAAATATCTGTTTTTTACCTTCTTTGTTTTTAGTTTAAAAGTAAACTAAACCGTTAGAATCATGTGGATACTTTGTCACAATGTGTAGAAGATAATCTATTAGAGCTATATGATTAATAATATAATAAAAATACATTACCTGTGTGCAGCTTATTTTTATGTTGTTTTTTGTTATATAGAGAAAATAAGAAATTGAACCTCTGTATAACTTTGAAACGTGCAACAAACTTGGATCATATGCAAAAAAAAAAAAAAAAACCTACATGTGAAGGTCAAGTGCAGGTGCCCGTTGCGACCTTGACCTAATTTCTCGTCAGGAAAGTAGACCCCGCCATATTTGTATGGTGCATTCATTTTAGAGTTTTTGGGACGAGTGATACTGCCAATTGCGATATTAGAATTTGTTTAAAAACGTGGGATGTAAGCAGCTCAGTCGTAACAGTGTGTATCCGTTCAATAAACAGTTACCGCGAGCCAGAAGGACAGGTTTGATACGTTTTATCTCTCTCACTTCAGAACACGTGTAATACCAATGAAAGACATTCTTTAATAAATTTCCTTGTGCATGGTTATCTGCTATGGGAGCTCTATAACTGCTTTTGACTTTGAAAGATTATTTTCACGTCTTAATTAATAACTGTAAATAGTAGCAGTCCAGGAAGTACGTGTTTGGATGATAGTGAAGTAAGATGGCTGGTACCTGGTTCCTGCTCATGTCCGTCCTGGTTATGTCTGGCATATTGACTGCAGCGTCACTGACAGGGTTAGTCTTAAGAAATCATTATTGAAGCATTTTAAAGTAAGTTTGTTAAATCTTCTTATAATGTAATAATTTATGGTTTTTAGAAAAGTCTTTTTTGTGCCATTTGGGAGCGAGATGAGTCTCTCCAGCAATAAATAAATAAATAAAAAGAAGGAAAAAATCAAAAAAATTTACACTTCATCATTTGTCGTTGACTTCCAGCCATGTGTGTACAGCCAGAACAGGTTACATTTCCACGGGTTACCGCCCCAGCTGGCAGGCCGACTTTACCAAATATTTCCTCAACTGTGGATTCATGGGATTTGGCAGGTGTAGCAGGCAAAGGTAAGTTGCTTGAAAGACACCATGTAGTGCAAACTTAAGACAAATTTTTAATGTTTTCTTCTTGGGTAAATATATAGATTGTCTGAACTGGCATGTATACAGTTGGCAGGGAGCGAGAAAGATTTTAAGCATGGCTGTTGGAAAAAAAAATGTATATATTTAGAGAGAGAAAGAGGGAGAGAGAGAGAGAGTGTTATAATTTACTGATTATGTTTGTTAATTGTTCCAGACAAATGACACGGCAGACCAGCACTCTGCAGAGATACAGGATGTATAGGTTAGAACAGGTGTGTTGTTCTGGCTGGAAACAGGTGGGAGACACTTGTACTACAGGTAAGATATCCACAGTTATATAATACAGGTTAGAACAGGTGTGTTGTTCTGGCTGGAAACAGGTGGGAGACACTTGTACTACAGGTAACACATCCACTGTTTACAACATATATAAAACCTGACATGCCATAGTTAATTGTCAGTCCTGTCATAACAATTTTCAAGACCCTGTTCAGTCATTCCAAAGGACAGGCAACAGTTTTAATTCAGGAATTTGGAGTCAGTCTGGCAAAAAAGTCTTTGGTTTGGCNTCATAACTTGTCTTTCTGAATCCAATCCTCATCACATTTCAGCAATCTGTACAGGAGGCTGTGGTAGTGGTGGGGAGTGTGTGGCACCTGAGACATGTACCTGTCCACCTGGATACCAGGGACCAAAATGTGACATTGGTAAGTAAGTGACAATGTCAGTGACAGTTTACGTTGACATTGACAGTTGATATTGACAGTAACATTGACAGTGAGTCGTTGACAATGACAGTTGACAACGACAGTGACCCTGACAATGACAGTTAAGGTTGACATTGACAGTTGATATTGACAGTAACATTGACAGTGGCAATAACAGTTGACAATGACAGATGACATTGTGACAATAAAATGTGATGTAAGGGACAGAAGACTTGCTGGCAGCTCACTTGTTGAAATAGGAACATTGGAAATTTTAAATCAGAATTAACTGTATGTATGTTATTATGGTAAAATAACTTTTACATTAATATTATAAAATAAAAAGCAGATCTATCGATCTTTACTGTGTTACAGATGTCAACGAGTGTGACACCAACAATGGCGGCTGTGCCCACACCTGTACGAACACAGCGGGAAGCTACTCGTGCTCTTGTAACAAAGGCTTCATACTGTCTGGTACACATGGATGTGAAGGTGTGGCAGGAGCTGACATAAGAAGAGAAAGTAAAACTAACACTGGACTTCCTAAGTTGTTGGCTGCATTCACAACACCAGACTCACTAGTCTGTGGATCAAATATGGCCGACCACTTGAATCCTTGTTGTGTGATTTTGATAAATCTGCCTATTAAGGGTTTAAAAGGTGGGTTGCCATATTTGAGTCGTGGACTCTAGTCAGCAGCTGTTGTGAATGCGGCTATCGATTTAAACTGATCCAATGACCAATCTTCAGCATAAAGATGAGTGACGGGCAGGATTGGCTAGTCACATGACAGGTCTAGTGTTAGACGGAGTTTTTCTTCATAAGGGATGTTACACTAATGGATGAATCGGAACATTACTAACCATGGCTCCGTATCTCGAAAGGTTCGCTATGTTGCGCGCGAGCGTTAGTGTCTCGATTCCATAACCGATTCTATTTCGAGATACAGGGCCATGGAATTGAGACACTTTCGCACGGGCGCAACATAGCGAACCTTTTGAGATACGGAGCCCATGTTTAAATTTGGTTGAAGAAAAAATTTGACTGTTGTTTGCCACGCGTATTTGTGGTTTGCTTGAACACTTTGATTTTGCTGAAAAAGTTTAAATGAAAAAAAAAAAAAGACATTTTGATGTCTTGATTAGACTGAAACTAATGAAGTATTCTCTTACAGAGGATTTTGTGGCTGTTAGCACAAGAACAGTTCTGGGCAGGTTGAGGATTCTTGATGCAAAATATCCGTATTCTTCTGACCTTAAGAACCCAAAATCTGCACTATACAAGCAGTACGAGAGTATTATCAAACAGCAGGTATAGTATTGTAATGATCTTTATTTTTTATCAATACAATGGGCCTGTATAGATGAGTTCTAAGTTTAATTTGTTGATGTCTTACATGTGTGACCTATCAGATATTTTTTTCATTCATCATTCTTGTTTAACAAGAGCCCTTGCTGTCCTTTAAAACACTTTGTAACACTTAGGGCGTATTCCCATAGATTTTAGATCGATCTATCCCTGTGGGGAGTCTCACTAGATTACTGTCAGATAATCCGGCTTAAATGTCCATCCCGCCTACTACAAGCTGTAAGTTGGTAATGAACTTTCGTGCCCGCTCGGCTGACAGCTATTTAGGGTGAACCCCCAGGGAGTTAGGTCGATCTAGTTTGGATCGATCTAATCTCTGGGAATGGGGTCTTAGGTTCTGTATTCACAAAATATGATACTTTTAGTTGAGCTTTTTTCCTTCCGCATATACTTTAGAAATAATTTTTTTTTCTGCCACTTAATTGTAAGTGAAACTTATTTCATATTAAAAAGCAAATTAGAATAAGTATTTATATGAGGAGATATATGTTTGCAAAAGTCTTCAAAAAAAAAAAGAAAAAAGGGGATAATAGCTGAAGAAGCGTGGATTTTCACGTTTCCAGATAGACAGCATTATCATGGGGAGCAAATTTGGATCATTTTATGACAGATCTGAAATAACGGGCTTCAGGTAGTGGGTCAGTTGCCATAGTAACACTGACTGACACGTCAATTGTTGTACATGTTATTATTTTTTTTCTGATGTTTTCAATTTGTTTGGATGTTAAATCTAACAGTGTTTTAATGGACTTTTAATGAATTTATTTTTCTTTGCAGATCTTGATTTAACATATCACTTTTATGTTGTCAAAATTTCAGGTTTCATATTGATCTGTTAACATGTTTGAATTTTTTTGACAGTCACATGCTCATTAAAGTGATAGATAAAAATCACTGTTCAGAAGAGCAAAAACCTTTAAAAAAATGATAGTTTGCCAGTATTTTCATTAAGTTTCTTACTTTTCCAGCCCCAATGCACCTTCCTCTTTTTTTTTTTTTTTGTATTTTACCCATTATCATATACAGTGGTAAAATAAATTCTTTAAAGGCATACATGAAATTTGTTTGCTCGTATGGATATATTAACTTCATCAATTATTATTTACTAATTAATTCCAACCATGTGTGTAATAAATATGATGACTAAGGATAATATTTGTATTTATATTTTATATAGTGATAATGAAGTCAAGGCAGAGTTTGTCATGTTCTTCCGCGGAGACGTCCTGACAACACAGCAAACCAGTAAGGCAGGAAACAGCACTTTAAGAGACTTAATGAACAACTTTATAAACCGCACTAAGATTGGACATGGCCTTGTTCTTCTGGATTCTTTTAGAATTTTAGAGAATGCGACTGAATTGTGGGCAGGTAAGAATGGATATGGCCTGTGTTTTATGACCCATCACATGTCAGATGCTTTAATTACAAGAATCTGTGCATTCCTACTTTTTACATCTGAGCTTGCATAAAATTTAAATAGTAGATTATTTTGTGAAGAGAAGGCACAAACAGAAAAGCCAACATCTGCCACAGAAAATAAGATTCCACCACAAGATTTAGTATTATCTACAAATGGTTATCAACATTTTTCAAGTTGAAATATTCCTGTCTCCTTTTCCAGGAGAGCAGACCCTATCTCCCGACTCAGGACGCTGTACAGACTGCCAGGCAGGATACTACTGCACTCTCACCAAGGAAACTCCCTGTGGCAAAGGAAAATACAGTAAAGAGGGCGCCAGCTCCTGTGACTCCTGTCCCGCTGGGTATTACTGCCCATTGTCCAGTACCTCTGACCCAGAGCCGTGTCCAGCGGGGAAGTTCTCCCAGCCAGGCGCTGTGATATGCTCACCCTGTCCAGTGGGAACTGAGTGTCCACTGACTGCCATGAGTTCTCCTTCACTGTGCCAGAATGGGACATACTCTGACAGCAAGGGGACAGTGAATTGTGATCTTTGTCCTGCAGGTAATAAAACCCTTATAAGAATGTGATGTTTTAGCCAAAAGGATGAATTTAACCATAGTCTGGATAACTAAAGAATGTGACATTGCAAGTTTGTTGTTAAGTAGAAAAGACAGTATGCCATTTTAACCATTTATTACTACTCGAAAATTAATAACACGAAAAAAAAAAATGTAATTTTTTTTGTTTGAAAGGAGTAATACACTGAATCCTGTTGTGAAAATTTTAATGCATGTTCAGAAATTGTATTACATGATGGAAAAGTCTTTCAATTTCTTTTAAGGTAAACAGTGTGAAAACCCGTCAGAGTCTCCAGTGCCATGTAGTGTAAACACCTACAGTCTGGCTGGGTGGTCAGTTTGTATTCAGTGTCCACAGGGTCACTACTCTGACTCAAAAGGGTCAACTTCATGTATACCATGTCCAGCCGGTCATGCATGTCCGACCAGCACAGAACCGCGGACTCTCTGTCCAGCTGGCACCTACAGCCCAGGTGGACTGTCAGCATGCTTGAATTGTCCAGAAGGACACTATGCTGATTCCAAACGGTCCGCTGCTTGTGCCCCGTGCCCAGCCGGTCACTCCTGTCTTAACAAATACGACTCCCCGGTGTTGTGTCCAGCAGGGTTATTCAGTACAGGAGGACGGACGGAATGTCTCAACTGTTCAGACGGAGATTACACTATTGATAAAGGGTCAAAATCCTGTACTCCCTGTCCAGCCGGCCACTCTTGTGTTGACCAGGGTAACCCTCCTGTCCCCTGTGGTCCTGGGCAGTACAGCCCCGGGGGGAGGAAGTATTGTGCTCAGTGTGGGGTGGGGCAGGTGAAGGAGACCTCAGGGGCTGGCAGCTGTGAGGCCTGTCCCCCAGGGTATCAATGTCCCACTGCTGCTACCAGTAAGTGCCTTTGGTCATATTTGTGCTAGTATTAAAAAAGAATTCAACCTCTGTTTGCAATATACATTCATGTCTCTCTTATATATAGTGTGAGAGGCGAAGAGACCATTACAGGATTAAGAAGTCATCTTTTCACGTAGGTCTGCCATATTTAGGTCCTGGCCTAGCCAGCACTCAGCTCTTCTCGTTCTGAATGGTCCCTTATATATAGCGTACTGTGGGCAACTTCACTTACAAGTAACAATTTCAGTCATTTTCTTTTGTATTGTTATCATATAAATATTATATATTATTTTCATTCATTTGTATTATTACATCATTAATCCTCCCCTACCTGTGTATTTCCAGAGGAGCTATGCCCAAGTGGTCACTACTCCCCAGGGGGTCTAACCACCTGTGTCCCATGTCCAGCTGGTCACTCCTGTCCCGTAGCAGGCAGCAGCGCCCCCTCTGAGTGTCCAGTGGGGTCATACGCGGCCGCCATGAGCAGTACCTGTACCCCCTGTCCAGCTGGTCACTACTGCCCGAACACCACCATGGTCCAGCCCGTCCAGTGTCCAGAGGGTCATTATCAAGTGGACACTGAGGGGCTGAACTGTACGGAGTGTCCACCAGGTGATTGATTTGGTGTCCTGAGGCTTTTGGTGAAATTTAGTTAAAACAGTTTCTGTAAGATGTTTTGTGAGAAATTTTACATTCTGATCGAAAATTGAAGTAAAATTTTTGACAATTATCAAATGTAGGTAAGTGAAATTAATAATAATAATAACAATGATTTTTTGTCATATTTATACATTAACAAGTATAAGATGTTAATCAATGTGGTCTGTCAATAAATGGAAGATGCCATACATTGGTACGTATCAATAGGACAATTTGAAAGAAAAGAAAAGCAATTTTAAAAATTTATATGACTTAGTTAAATTTGACATTTACTCTAATTTTTCAAACTCCCCCCTCCAGGTCACAAATGCCCCAGTATCTACTCCCCACCACAGTCCTGCTCTACTGGTCAGTACCAGGACCAGACTGGGATGTCCAGCTGTCTTCAGTGTCCACAGGGTCACTACCAGACAGACACTGGGGGTGTGAGTTGTACTGAATGTCCACTAGGTGAGAAATTGATTTGATATCATGATAGTTGGCTTAGCACAAAAAGTAATATTTGTTGGTAAAATAGGTATGGTTTTAAGAATTAAGTGTTTGGATATCTTCTTAAAGCGATTAGTATTACTATTTTACTATTATTGTTGATTTGAAGTATTTGTGCAGATATAAGTGAAATGGAAAAGTTTTTACAAATTAAAAGAAAAACTAGATCCTGAATTTGACAATTTTGCTTGGGTTCTGTCATTTGGTCATCTCTCAACACCATTGAAACTTGACCAAACCATCACTATTTTTTTTTTGTCAGAGTATGGCCTTGTTATTTAGCCATCCATCAACACCACTTACATCTAAACCCAATCTAATTCTGTATCTGAGCATTACCTAATTGTTCCTCTGCCCCTTAGGTCACAGGTGTCCAAGCACCGACACCGTACCAATTCCCTGCACCAGTGGTCAGTTCACCAACCAGACAGGAATGACCAGCTGTCAGCCATGTCCAGCAGGTTACCAATGTCCAGATGGCTCCTCTCTGTCCACTATATGTCCACCTGGTCATTACTCCAACCCTGGCAGCACCAGTTGTACCATATGTCCTACTGGTCACTACTGTCCAGATGTGGGAATGGTCCAGCCTCTACAGTGTCCAGATGGTTATTACCAGGCGTCCACTGGGAGTACAAATTGTACAGAGTGTTCCATAGGTAAAGGCATACTATAGAATTAAAGTGTTCTTGATTAATAAATCCATCTAGGAATTCTGTTTGATATTATACTTACAGGTTTAGGTTATTATCAGTATTTTGTGTTACCTTTATGGGTGTTCTTGTAGGAATATCTGAATTTTTTTCTAATTGTTAAATCGGTTAGTAACACCAATTACTTTTGAATTAATATAGTTTATTGAAATGCAGTTGCTTTTATTCATGATCAGAAGAAATTTGTCAGTTAAAACTTTCTTGTTCTCTCACATCCATTGCTTTTTAAACCCAATACCACTGTTGAATATTTGACAAAATTTTGATAAATAAATGACAAAAAAATAAAAAATTTTCAAAATAATTAGCAAAGTGTTTGCACTATTGTACATTTGGCTGTACATTTATGTTTGAGTCAGACACATTTACATACTAATATAATTTATGTACTGAATAATTTCATTAATTCTTCAGGCCACAAATGTCCCAGTAAGTACGACCCCCCAGTACCCTGCTCCAGTGGTCAGTACCAGAACCATACAGGAATGTCCAGCTGTCTCCCCTGTCCAGCAGGCTACCAATGTCCAGAGGGAGAACAACTGTCCACCATATGTCCACCTGGTCATTTCTCACACCCTGGCAGCTCTAACTGTACCATATGTCCCCTGGGTCACTACTGTCCAGAGGATGGTATGGTCCAGCCTGTTCAGTGTCCGGCTGGTCAGTACCAGATGACCAGTGGTAGTACCAGTTGCGTGGAGTGTCCTGTAGGTAGGGTATCGGGAGTATACACCATATTGAAAGTATTCAGACTGGTTCAAAACTGAAACTGATTGAACTCTGAAATAAGTCGGAGGATTTTATTCTAAATGATATTTGTACAGACACATTTTCATTGTTGTAAGGATTAGTGGAAAACTTTGACCTTTTGTGTTCAAACTTAGTATTTTTTTAAAAATTCACTATTAAGTTGCGTTGTTTAGAAATGAAAATTTTTAAGTGAGGGATTTCTTCTTTGAAATGTTTAATCGTAATGTCTAGTAATTTTAATACATACATTCTTATATCAACATATTTTAAAAATTTGAACATTGCTTGCAGTTGGTTGAAATGTAATTCGCTTTGAAACTTTGCATGACAGAAATGTAGATATGATGAATATCATTTTTCTAGACTTCATGAGTTTTTATTAAGTGCTCTATGAAGAACATTTTAAACAGTTTAAATGAATTTTCATGAAATTTGGGCAATTTCATTTGTTCCTGTTCCAGGTCACAAGTGCCCCTCCTTGAACTCCCCACCAGTCCCCTGTCTCTCTGGTCAGTACCAGAACCAGACTGGAATGTCCACCTGTCTCCCCTGCCCAGGTGGTCACCAGTGTCCAGTGGGGACGGACCCGCCTGTCACATGTCCTGTTGGTCACTCTGCCGAGATGGGGAGCACCAGTTGTACCATATGTCCCCTTGGTCACTATTGTCCAGATGAAGGCATGGTCCAGCCTCTTCAATGTCCGGAGGGTCATTTTCAGATGTCCACTGGGGGCATTAATTGCAGTGTGTGCCCTAGAGGTAGGTGGTTGGATTTTTCATGTGATAAAAAAAGTAGAATGATGAAGTTGGGGGCTACTTTATCAGAAAAGTCAGTTTTTATAGCTTTAAATCAGCATATTTGTTTTAAGCACATTGATAGTAACGGTTTGATTTCATTCTGATACCAACAGGTCCAGATGTGCTGTACTTCTTTGATGTACTTATAAAATATAAACTTAAATTTTGAAGAACCACACTGAAAACAAGAAGTAACTACATTTTTTTAAAATTAAATGCCCATCAAAGAATAACTTCAGTGTGAAGAGAATAACTAGCTTCACGTGACAGCATTTGATTAATTCTTTCTTAAATTTATAACTGATTCATTTAATTCATCTTATATTGTTTAGACCACAAGTGTCCAGACATCACCTCTCCCCCTGAACCCTGCCCCACGGGACAGTACCAGAACTTGACTGGGATGACCATCTGTCTGCCGTGTCCCGGTGGCCATGAGTGTCCTATAGGGGGCAGCTCTCTCATCCCGTGTCAACCTGGATACTACTCGGACACTGGTCACTGCACGATCTGCCCCACCGGTCACTTTTGTCCAGACATGGGGATGTTTCAGCCTGTTCAGTGTCCGGCTGGTCACTATCAGATGTCCACTGGGGCTACGAATTGCTCAGAATGTCCGATAGGTAACTATTTATGGATACATATGCTACTGGTATAATGTGAAATAAGTGATGGCAAAAATAAGGGGCAGTCTTGCATGATTTGTTTCTAAATCATCTCATAATTAAATCAAGTCATATGATTGATTAAATGGTCTAAAATGAAAGGCCTAGTGCAACTGGTAGATCATTTATATGCTTGTCCTGATTTCTCAACCAGTAATGAAGTTTTAAAAGTCCATGGTTTATCTTGGCGCACCTTGGATACAATTACCACATCATTTCACTCTCCAGGTCATCACTGCCCCAGTGTATTCAGTCCACCTCAGTCCTGCTCCGCTGGTCAGTACCAAAATCTGACCGGGATGACCGGTTGTCTGCTGTGTCCTGGTGGCCATCAATGTCCCGAGGGAGGCGCCATTCCAGCTGAGTGTCCGGCCGGTCACTACTCAAGCCCTGGTGGCTCTAGCTGCACTCTCTGTCCTATTGGTCACTATTGTCCCTATGCGGGCATGGCTGACCCGTTCTTGTGTCCGTCTGGTAGCTACCAAATGACCACTGGTAGTATGAATTGTACTGAATGCCCACAAGGTAGGTGTATGCATTTTACTTCTTAATATGTCTTTATTCAGTAGATTTCTACAGGAAGATTAGTTTGTCTTATGTTTATTATATGTTTGAGGTTGATATTATGTGATAATATTATTTGGATGCAAGAATTGGAAAATGCGACTTTATTGCTATTTTCTAAATGCTTTTTCTGCATAAAAGATTATCAAGCTAATCCAGTAAATTGTATTTTTATATTTAAATATTTCCTACTCTTTATCTGAATATTTTTATCTGAAATTTTGTTGTATTTTTACACAAGATAACAAATGCCCCAGCGTGGATGCCTTGCCAATACCCTGTGTGGCGGGTCAGTACCAAAACCAGTCCGGGATGACGGCCTGTCTGGCTTGTCCAGGTGGATACCAATGTCCAACAGGAAGTAACTCCATCCAGGAGTGCCCAGTGGGTCACTTTGCATACCCAGGGAGCTCTAGCTGTACCATATGTCCCACTGGTCACTATTGTCCAGATGTGGGCGTGGTCCAGCCCATTCAGTGTCCTGACGGTCACTATCAGATGTCCACTGGGAGTGCAGTGTGTGTTGAGTGTCCGCAGGGTGGGTGTTAAATTCAGTCCATTTTGAGTCTTTAAAATTAACGCTGCTATTTGTGTATAGTTTAGGCAAATTACCACTTGTATTTGGACGATGATCCGACCGAAAAATTTCCTAAATATAAGTTGAGGTAGTTTAGTTTGAAATTTGGGAAATCAGTGAGTTTGGTCAAATTTCTCCTGTTATCTTCAATTACATTATTTAATTTATGTATCTTGGAAATTTATTTTAATCCTCAGTATTATATCCCATATTTCTCTCTCCATTACTTTAGGTCACAGGTGCCCCAGTATCTATTCCATAGCAGTACCTTGTTCTGTCGGTCAGTACCAGAATCAGACTGGGATGACCAGCTGTCTGCCCTGTCCCGCTGGCTACCAGTGTCCCGACGGGACCGCCTCCCCCACCAAATGTCCAGTGGGTCATTATTCCGAGACTGGTAGCACTGAGTGCACATTGTGTCCCCTTGGTCACTACTGTCCAGATGTGGGTATGGTCCAGCCAGTCCAGTGTCCGAACGGTTACTATCAAACATCCACTGGTGGGAGCACCTGCAGCGAGTGCACCGCAGGTGAGATATGATCTCTACAGATGTAAAAAATTTCAATAGAATTTTTACATACCTTCATAATGCTGTTGTAGATTTGGCCAATACTTGGTCAGCTATTGCATTTTCCCTTTGGCTGAAACCCTCAGCCTTCTGTACACTTCTGATGCAATATGGCTATCTGTTGATGTCATTTGATCTCTCATCAAATATAATCCATGTCTCTATAAACCTCAGGTCACAGATGCCCCAGTATCTACTCCATACCCGAGGCCTGCTCTACTGGTCAATACCAGAACCAGACAGGAATGACCAGTTGTCTCCCCTGTCCCGCTGGACATAAGTGTCCAGTTGGAAGTAACCCACCAGTTGTGTGTCTGGCTGGTCAGTACGCGGAGGCAGGCAGCACCAGTTGTACGGACTGCCCCACTGGTCACTACTGTCCAGATGTTGGTATGATCCAGCCTGTACAGTGTCCAGATGGTTACTACCAGACAACACTAGGTGGCACTAGTTGTACGGCATGCTCAGCAGGTATAGATTTGATCCCTTTGATATTATATTAGTGGTCATTATATAAAGAAAAATGAGTACTACATGTATTATCTGTGTATATGTACTTATACGAACTGAAGTCTTAATTCTTTCTTTTTGAAATGAATTGGAATTAAACCCCAGTAACTTTGCTGTATATGATAGTTTAAATGTAATTAGAGTTCAGCAGAATAAAGTAGAATGTTGTCAATATTTTAAGTAGAATTACTTTGTATTCATGAATTCATAATTAATTCAAAATTTCTCAGTTTACTTTAATAAAGTTGATTGCTATTTACATTTGAAGTAGAAGTTACCATGCCTGCATCTATACAGCAACTTTCACATTTCTTGGTTCTCGTTAATTACTAGGTCACAGGTGCCCCAGCATCTATTCCCCTCCCATACCCTGCTCTAGCGGTCAGTACCAGAATGTCACGGGGATGTCCAGCTGTCTCACATGTCCGGGAGGTCACCAGTGTCCATCGGGGAGTGGGTCGTCCATTGCCTGTCTCCCAGGGAACTATGCCAATCCAGGCAGTACTAGTTGTACCATGTGTCCTACTGGTCACTACTGTCCAGATGTGGGCATGGTCCAGCCTGTACAGTGTGCAGACGGTCACTATCTTACAATGATGGGGGGTACAAGTTGTACAGAATGCCCATCTGGTAAGATTGTGTTTCAAATCATCATATAAATTATAGAAATACTGATACTGTCAATTGACTTGTTGATGTGCAACATGTTTAACCCCATAGGATCCAGTTAATGCTGACCCATAAAGTTCTGCTGTGCCCAATTAATTCTGTGAGCTAGCCTTGAAAAGCCGGGTCACTTCAGTAAATTGGCCATAATTTATTTGTTTGCCTTTATTACCCATACAAAGTATACATTTTTAAAAAGCCAACATTTCAAGCTAAATAAAAATAGAATTACATTTAAATTCAACGCGCTGTACAAAGAATTATGGCCGGTTAAAAACTACATTTTCATTTGATAATGGGTGAAATAAAACAAAGTTGATTTATCTTATGCACATCAATTTTTTATTTCTCCATAAATTTGCCTGAAAATTCACAGAGATGATGTCAATTATAGTAACTTTCAATCCAGGAAATTTCAGCAAGTTATCTCCATTAATTTCCAAGTTATGCTCGTTTTGCTACCAGGTATACCTACTTGAGCCAGCTTTTCAGCTCACCTGAACATCGTGGCCAGAGCTGAATAGAAGTCAATTTTTAACACCATCTATGGCAAAAACATCTTTAAAACTTTTATCATGAATAAAGGAATATCTTCCTCTCTGTCTATATCATTGTCACTCGAAAACACCTGATCAGTGTCGTAGTTTTCAATCATTTCAATAACAGTATCCATTCGCAGGCCTCTTCCGTAGTGAGAAGTCGCCATTTTGATTTTACTTTCTTCAGCTAAGTCTAGGAAATAGCCGATTTCTCGCTCATATATATTTCTATCGTCCTTTATATCATAAATAAATGAATATCATCGTCACTGTCTATGTCACTGTCACACGAAAACTTCTCATCAAAGTCCGGGTTTTCAATCATTTCAATAACAGTATCCCTTCGCAGGTCCCTACCGTAGCGAGGAGCGGCCATCTTGATTTTACTTTCTCCACCTAAGTCTTGAAAATCGCCGTTTTCTCGCTCATATATATTTCTATCGCCTTTAAAAATGGTGGCAATGAGAGACAAGAAACATACCCGGATGTTAAACTATATATCATTTCATGATTCACGATACAAAAGAGTACAGAAGACGATCTTTCCAAGATACGCACATATGCGGTTCTGGGCGTTTGGGGTAAGCGATAATTGAACCGCACATATGCGGTGACGGGCTCTATGGGGTTAAGTGAGGTTTTGCAAAAATGATATATTAAAAAAAAATCGTAAATAAAAACAAAACTTTGGATTTCTATGCAGGTCACAGATGTCCCAGTATATACTCGCCCCCAGAGGCCTGTCTCTCTGGCCAGTACCAGAACCAGACAGGAATGACCACATGTCTACCATGTCCAGCTGGTCACAGATGTCCAGTGGGAAGCAATCCTCCTGAGATATGCCCATCGGGGTACTATGCCCAAACTGGCCAGTCTGTTTGTACCCACTGTCCTAGCGGTCACTACTGTCCAGGCGCCGGCATGGGAGAGGCGGTCCAGTGCGCAGATGGGTATTATCAAACGTCTCCCGGGAGCACCAGTTGTATTGAATGCTCAGTAGGTGAGGAAGGGTGTCCTTTTAATGCTGCAATGAATTTTTGTCCATTCATTGAGTCTGAAAATGCAAAACAACAACATGTCTGATTGTTTCTTGCATTAGCATTAATTACATGATATATAATAATATTAAAATTTCAGTCTTAAACCAATTTATGCCACAGTTAGAAGTCCTTGTTAAAATTTGACTCATCAATTGACTCTTTTAAGTTAAAACTCTTACAATCTGACACCTTTTCCTGGAATTGGTCACAATTTTATCCCAGGTCACAGGTGCCCTAATGTGTACAACATGCCCGAGGCCTGTCTCTCTGGTCAATACCAGAACAAGACCGGGATGACCAGTTGTCTGCCCTGTCCAGGGGGCCACAGGTGTCCAGTGGGTAGTAATCCACCCCAGGAGTGTCCAGTTGGTCACTTTGCTAATACAGGCAGTTCCAGTTGTACCCTGTGTCCTACTGGTCACTACTGTCCAGATGTGGCCATGGTCCAGCCGGTCCAGTGTCCAGATGGTTATTATCAGGTTAACCAGGGGAGGACGAGTTGTAATGAATGTCCTGTGGGTAAGTTGTTATCTGGTTTTCTTTATATTGATTCTAAAATGAATGGTTTTGTGTTCCATTTCATGGTACTGTGGCTACCTACAACCAAATATCATATATGTGTGCTATTGGTGACGCTATGGACACAATTTCTTTCTCATTGCCATGATTTCTTAAAAGATGATTTGAAATTTTTGTACCGAAATATGACAGATATTTGGAATTAGCAAATGGAGAAAATCTATTTAAGTTTTTTTATTCCAGTGAAATATTTCTGACATATCTAGTATAAAATACACAGAAATAGAGATTATAAAAGGAGACTATATTATAAAGACCTGTCTATTCTCTAGGTCACAGATGCCCGAGTATATACAACACGCCCGAATCCTGCTCCGCTGGTCAGTACCAGAACAAGACCGGAATGACCAGTTGTTTGCCCTGTCCAGGTGGACACAGGTGTCCAGTGGGCAGTACCCCACCTGAGGTATGTCCAGTCGGTCACCATGCTGACGTTGGGAGCGCCAGCTGTGATGCCTGCCCCCTGGGTCACTACTGTCCAGATGTGGGTATGGCCCAGGCTGTACTGTGTCCAGATGGTTACTACCAGACATCCACTGGGACAACTAGCTGTAATGAATGTCCAATAGGTTGGTGCCTGTAATGATTATTTTGTAGAATAAAATATTGATAAAATTTGGTTTATAAAACAGATAAAAAGGAAATTGGATTGGTATGACTGAATTTAATCCCACTAACTGTCTTTTGGTTACTGCATAATAAAAGATCTTTTTATTTCAAACATTTATTAGTGAATGCTGAAATTATATTAGTTTACCATTCAGTGTTACATTAGAGACAGTAAATTCACAGAAACATTTGAAAGATCTAACTTTGAATTTTAAGACCCAAATACCTTTATAATTCATCCAGAACAAGTGCTCTGTCCAATATTAAAAAGAAATATTGCATTTACAGGTAATGTCTTGAATGACACACTGTATAAATATTATAGATATTAATAATATAATATTAAAATCCCATTATTCCAGGTCACAGGTGCCCTAATGTATACTCACTTCCAGAGGCTTGTCTTGCTGGTCAGTATCAGAACCAGACAGGAATGGCCGGTTGTCTCCCATGTCCAGGGGGATATAAATGCCCAGTAGGAAGTGATCCACCCCAGAAATGCCCAGTTGGTCACTATGCTAATACAGGCAGTTCCAGTTGTACCATATGTCCTCCTGGTTACTACTGTCCAGAGGTTGGTATGGTCCAGCCTGTCCAGTGTCCATCTGGTCAGTATGAGGCATCAACCGGGAGCACAGCATGTACGGAGTGTCCCCAAGGTAATGGAACCTTTATAACAAATTGTAGATAAGCTCATTTGCCTTGAGTTAATGAGATGAATTTCTGTGAGATGTATTTGTTTATTATATGCTTGTCATTTACAGTTTTTTAGTTATTAGTCAATAACGATATGATGAATATTTGGCACTCTAAACCCAAAACATTGGTACATTATTATTATTATTATTATTATTATTATTATTATTATTATTATTATTATTATCTGAAAATTTCCTAATATCTACATAAACCTACTGAACTTTCCCAATGCTTCCCCCCCCCCTCTAAGAATATACACTTTGACCAGTAAATCCTGTATAGGGTACCTTTAACATAGACAACTTTCCTGTTTTACCAGGTCACAGATGCCCCAGTATCTACTCCCCTCCAGATCCCTGCCAGAATGGTCAGTACCAGCTACTGTCCGGGATGACCAACTGCCTGCCTTGTCCTGGTGGACACCAGTGTTCAGTGGGGACTGATCCTCCCATAGAGTGTCCCATTGGCTACTTTGCCAGTACAGGCACTTCCAGTTGTAGTCTATGTCCCACTGGTCACTACTGTCCAAATACTGGACTGGAGCAAGCTGTTCAGTGTCCATCTGGGCATTATCAGGCTAACACTGGGAAAACAAACTGTACTGAATGTCCCATTGGTAAGTTTGAATTTTGTTCAAAGAACATGCCTATTTATTGCCATAAATGTGCTCAAATTTTGTGAAAATAAAGGAATTCCCCATTTTGCATAAGAGGTTACATTACAGTACTCATATTCACAATTTTTTTTAGATAATTTATCACAAAATTTAAACCAAATGAGTCAATCAGTAGAAATAAATAATATTTAGACTTTTTTCCTGAAAAAAAATAGCCATTTGAACAATTGTTTGTATATTTCCTCTTTTTGGACAGAGTTTTAATTATACGAAATTAAGTGATACCATTTAGGAATTTGAAACGCATCTTGTCTTTTTGTATTCTATTTTTGAACACAAAATAATATTTCTTCTTCAATTTCCCAGGTCACAGGTGCCCCAGTATCTACACATTACCAGTCCCTTGTCTTTCTGGTCAGTACCAGAACCAAGCAGGAATGACCACCTGTATAGCATGTCCAGGGGGACAGAAATGTCCAGTTGGAAGTGAGCCCCCTATCCAGTGTCCAGCGGGTTACTATGCCAACATAGGCAGCTCTTTGTGTACTATCTGTCCCACTGGTCACTACTGTCCAGTTGCTGGCGGAATTCAGCCGATACAGTGTCCGTCTGGATACTATCAGCCTTACACGGGGAAATTCAACTGCACAGAGTGTCCTATAGGTAAGACTTCTTCACCTCGTGACAAGATTAAAATATCATTAGACTACCTAACAGTACTTCAGAAGAAAAAAAAGACAATGTTATTTTGCATGGCAGACAATTGATCTATACATTTCTGCCCTGTAATGTGTATTTGTGACTGGCTATCCTGTATTGATTATTTATGCCTTCATTTATAAATTTAAGCCCTGTATTGCATATAAACAACTGTTTCCATTAATTATGTCCTTTCTTATAACAATTAGGTCATGGTTGTCCCAGTACCAGAGAGTTTCCAGAGGCTTGTTCTGCAGGACAGTACCAGAACCAGACTGGCATGACTGGCTGTAAACAGGTACAGCCTGGGTAGATCTTTCTTTTTTTTTTTTTTTTTTTTTTTTAATTTTCTGTTATCTTGAGCATTTATAGTAACCTTATTTAGAATGGAATTCTGAGTTAAAGGTGCTTAAAAGTTGGGTGATTTTAAAAGAAATGCATTCTTGTTATTGGATCTTAAATCATGCTTGTAATTGGGTGATTTTGGGATAAGTAGCAGTAAGTAAAATCATGATCAAAATTTAATTATATATTGATCTGTAACTCTCAGTTATAGTGTTTTTTATATGAAATGATCTGGTGTCAAGATGGCTGGAGCCAAAGTTGGTTGTTTAATGTGAATGTATTGAATGAATGAATTTATTTCAGGATATCAAGATCTTACATAAAGATTATTAAGATGACACAAATCTTACATGGTTCCAGGTGTCTCAATGAAGGCATAAAGAACATTAGGATAACTCAACAAAGTAATCAGAAGTCATTGTGGTACTTAATATCTGTCTGTCCATTAATATGTTACAAATTTCATTACATAAAAAGTTGTTTTTTTTCTGCAGTGCCCAGATGGATATTACCAGATCTATCCAGCAGAAGAATACTGCATAGAGTGTCCTGAAGGTAGTTGATTTTAATCACCCTTGCCGTTGCAGGTTAAAAAGATGCTCTTAAATTAAGCATGTGATATGCATTGTAAAATTTAGTAATTATTTGAAGCATTTGTTATGTATGTTTTCTACCAAAAAGGGAAAAAAGAATGAAATTGAACAAAGGGTGGATGTATGTATGGGGGAACAAGGCCCTTTGTTTTATTGCAAATTACTAGTAAAGTTTACACCATTGGTGGTGGTATTTGTTTAAAATGTGTTCTGTTTCTTCAGGTCACAGCTGCGGCAGTCCTGAAGTGCTTCCTGCTGCCTGCCTCCCTGGACAATACCAGAATGATACTGGGATGACTGGCTGTAAACAGGTGAGAGAGAGAGAGAGAGAGAGAGAGAGAGAGAGAGAGAGAGAGAAGAGAAGGGCATTTAATTTGGATGGACAGAATGTCAAACAGCCAGAAAGATTACCTTACCTACTGACCAGGAGAGGAGAAGAATGATACCAAGACAGTAAGACACCAATTGCAGAAAACAAGCTCAGTGTGTTTGGATGTCTAGAAGGGTGATGTATAATAAACAGTCGAAGATGTCTTATTATTCTGTCTCCCATTATTTCCAGTGTGCTGATGGTTACTATACTACACACTTTGCCACTGTGGTCTGCACTATCTGTCCTAGCAGTTACAGCTGCCCAGACCCTGCCCAGCCTCCTG